CATTGTATATTCAATGTCACGCCTCAGTTTTTTACAATGATTTCATTGCGTACCATTGCTCGTGATATTTGGCTGTATTGCATTTTAACAAAAAATACAACATACTAACTAAGGGGTGGATACCTGGATTTTGTGTCAAAGATCAATTTCTATCGTGACACCAATATACTTGTTCGACTATGTACATGTATATTGCAGGATTAATATTACACCTTTTATGTTACAACATATCTGTGGAGATTATATGCTATACCTTCCAACAAATAGTATAGGCATTCCAATAGAAACAAACTGTGATGACTTATGTATCTGATTTACATGTCACAAAGGTCATTCTACTTGGCTGTATTTAATGTGGTTATTTTTTTCTTTGTGTCTATTAGACCATTTTTTGTACTTGCTGAATATTTGTCAGTCGTTTGTTTTTGTGGTTGTGTTATTTTTACTACATAATTTTAATTGATTATATTTTTCAGTTAGAAGACCCAGAGATGACAAGGATAATTTTAGTATTTCTAGCAGAGTAACCCCAAAATTCAAACCTGAAGGGCTGAAATGGTTTTAAACATCATACGCTTCTAGTGATATAAGTGAATATTCACAACTGGTGAATTATATACAATGCCTTTAGTCTATAACATGTTTTTGAAAAAAACAATATCCAAGTATCAACCTCATATCATTATTCCTCACTGTCTGAGTCTGGCCTACCTGCAGGATCCCTTTGTTTCAACGTTCACGTTATTGTTTGTTAATTAAGTTGTGTTGATGTTTTTGTCCGACTGCGATTGAAAAATCATTACTTCTACTATCTGATTAGCAGCATGGCCAACATGACAGAGATATTTATTCAAGAACATGAATCGATGTATGTTCCAAGTATGAACTGTATTGAAAAATGTAGTTTAAGAAATTAGGGATTTGGTAGCATACTTCTATCTATAATACTTAGTATCAAGTATATGCATAGTATTGGGCTGCGTTGCAAACTAATATAGTATCAAATTATAAAGTTAGTAGGTAATGTGTATCTTCAATCGTGCTCTGTAAATTATATATGCGAATGGGTCGCTAATCAGTATACTGTTAGAATTATATATGCGCTTAATTGCGAATGGGTCGCTAATCAGTATACTGTTAGAATTACATGCTTGTCTTCGATAGATTTCTTGAAATGATTGATGTACATAGTTACATGTATGCATAATTAGCGAGGTCACATAGCCAGTCAATATGAACATTATTCTGTTGTGTTAAATTCTCATCCGCAATAGTTCTCTGGAAACGGACTCATGACCACAATTTCCAAGAAATTGTAATCAGTATTGTTGTTGACTATTTTCAGCAAATTTCAACCTAGAGAAAATCTCTACGACACATATATATTTACCCCCCCCAAAACAAATTGCCATGGTGCATTGTCAATAACAATAAGATGGTTAAAGGTAATTCAAACATAGTTGAACTCTGGTGACCTTGCCCTTTGTTATATAATATTTCCCGTTATCATAGTTTGTTTCAATATGAATATGCATTGTCATTTTGAATTTTTAATACAAACAAGTTTTGGGGTTGAAACAACAGTTGGAAAGTCTGCCGAATATCTTTGATAGAGGTAAACATCTTACAAAAACATTAGTGCCTAATTTGTTTAATAATTTTAAGGGACATAATGTTCAGCTTTATTCAAAGTAATTCAGATATTTTAGTATAAAAACAAATTAGACGTGAACAGATTCATAAAACATGCAAGATAACTGAACATCTTAGCTGGCTTTTGTCCAAGTGTTTTGTACAGGTGTCTGTCCAAAATTAATGATTTACAGAGACAAATATTATATTCATTGTGTGACTACTGTATTATTTGAAAAGTAAAAAAAACGCCCTCTATGAAATAGCTATCATGTTTGCAAGACCTGTTTTGTATGCAGAGAGAAGTCAACAGTACTGCTGCCTCCTGAGAATCTACATCTTCAAACACTGCTATCTGTTTTTGAAGTTCTAATAGCTGACACAAATTCCTATGAATTTTCATTTGTCGAATGAATTGTTTGTCAAATACAGAATACATATTTTTGAGTACAATTTTCTTTTCAAAATGTGGATGCAACATTTTGCTTTTTATGTATATTTTATGTATTGTTTTTTTATTTGATAATTTTGGACTAAATAGATTTTATGTTAGCTTCAGATCTTGATCAAAGTTTTCCACCCAGTTCATAGGAGTGCTTATATTGATTTTCTGACATCTTGTTTTCTGTAAAGATTTATTGGTAGGTTTGAAAATGTCTTTCAGACTGTCTAGTATTCCGATAGGATTTGGGATATACATTACCAAAGATATTATTACAAGATAAATGATTTGCTTCATTGAACACATAAAACAATGCATATTTCTACTGAGATCAGCGACCTTTGAATGTGTATCACCAGTGATCAGTCAAGTAGAAATAGTCAAAATATTTTATCAAATTTTCTCTGTCGTTCAGACTCAGGGAAGACTTTCTACTGATGAATAAGGTGACAAAGTTTGATAAAGTTTGGAATAGAATTAGTAAAGTTATTGTGCACACAATATCAATTATTAACGACGACGACGACAACGCCGGACAGAAATATTTCCATTAATATGCCTTTCCCTTCCATCTTTGATGGTACGGGCAAGGTAAAAATGCAGAACGGTTAATTGCATGAGGCCATAAAGTTGGTCATGTCAAGGTATAGACAATTCAGTTGTCTAAAATGTTGTCAATTTCACAAAACACAGAGTTTATATAACTTGCACTTGCTGTAAATTTACGGAATTTGCATATTGCGATAAATTGTCCTCGTGTATTTTATACCCACGGGGAAAGTGAATGGCTTCTGTCGAACGAAATATATCCGTAGGCTAGATTAGTGCTAGTAACATTATAACAATATATTTCATATTGTCTGTATACATGTATTTAATTAGTGTATGCCTGATACAGACTGTATGTATAAATTACAACTTATATGTATTCTACATATGACATTTATTCGAACCAAGAGCGCCTGAATTATGTAAATAATTATGTAAATAATAACATGCATGGTATAATTAAAATACTTAAGATAAAGACCTAATCAGAGTACTTGTCATTCCTAAAATCAAAATAGACTTACCACTCCCATCTCCAAGTATATATTAACATATTCAACAGTAACACACGCTCTGGTTTCCATTCAACTTGGTGGGTACATATAGTTTTTGTCAGTATATTTTCTTGTTCTGTGTGAACATAGCTGGCATGGTGAATATTCGATTACTATTATATGTCCGCCGGATCTGTTTATCATTGTAACTGAGCCTCTACTTCTGTGTGTAGTTCATATGTCAATGCTTTGAAGAGGACATACAAATTCACATCATGATAAATCAATCAGTGAGCATATCACTATGCATAAGGCCAATCCATAAGACCATCTATTGCACCTAGTTTGTTCCGAACCCAAATCATTGCAGCGCCATTATTACTGCTCTCGTGCCGCGCGGTATACACACTTTTCTTTGCAAATATACTCAATCTTTTTCGACAAGCATATGGACAGTATCAACTGTAGATTCTAATGATTTGTTTGAACGGAAGCAATGTGAGATGTTTTTTTATTTATTTCCGTCTTACACAATTAAAGGGCGGCAGTAGTCCAAGTATTTGTACAGGTGTCTGTCAAAAATTAATGATTTACTGAGACAAATATGAACTGCCTTATTATATTCATTGTGTGACTACTGAATGGCATGCGCGATATATATATATATATATCAAACACATTATGGAGGAAAACATTTTAAATAGTAAATCATAAAAATGTCAGAAAATTAGAAAAAAAAATATGAAATTTATTTAAATAGCAGTTTTCAAAACAATGTCGTAAATAGTGTT